CTTCCTTTTCCTCCAAGTCAGCTTTGTAGACACGGCTAGCTGGTGTCAGAGGTTGGCACATTCGCCGGGCGCCTATGTGCTAATGATGTTGTGCCTTTACCTGATCTGCAAGTGGTCACGTCCCGTCTCGCCCCCATGGGCGGTGTGTCGGGCCGAGATGTTTCCCCACGGCCCTGTGGGGAGCGGATGGTGCGGTGACCGCTCGTTCATTACTGTAGAGGACGAGAGTCCCTCCTTGGACTGTATTGGTTGTCCTATGTTGATGTCTGGCTCCTTACCCGGGGGCTGAAGGCGGCGCCTACAACACTGTAGTCCAGAAAGTACGCGCCCACAACACTATTCAGCTCCTGCCATACCTGGAAGGGTCTAAAGCGCTCGTCCCGTCGTGCTCTAACAGTACTTTCCTGCAACGGCGCAGGGCATGGTCCTCGATCGTGGTTTGACCCGAACGTCTTGTCTTACCCTGTGCCTATCATCATGAGGGAGCGAGGTGCAGTTGTCAGGTGAGGCGGAGGCAGCCTTTGGACATCGGGCGAGGTGAGGTCCGTCAGGCGAGGCGGAACCTAGCCTTTGGAGGTCGGGCGAGGCGGAGCCCAGCCCTCGGGAGTCGGGCAAGGCGGAGCCTAGCCCTCGAGGGTCGAGCGAGGCGGAGTCTAGCCCTCAGCCCTCAGGCGAGGCGGAGCCGTCCCCCAGCCGTCGGGGGAGGCGGAGCTGGCCGACGGGCCTCGGCGAGAGGGAACCAAAACTCCCGTCATTCGGGCAAGAAGCGCAGCGGTGCTCTTGTCCGTTCGGGATTTTTTAATGTTCGATGGTTATTAGTTCCATCTCCTTGGGTACCCCGGTATTAGGTTCCCGACAATACCTTAGCTCTTGTATTCATAGCAGAATTGTCTCCATTGTGTTGCTTTCCTACTAACTTCTTATTCACTGCTGTCTTGGGTCTCTCTTTGTTCTTAGTTGTGTTGATATCATCAGCAGTGTTGACATGCTGAGGTTCGGGCTCCAGGCTAGCAAGGAACAAAATGCTCAAAGGCACAGACTGTAGGCTTCCAAATTTTGGCTGGCTGGAGCCTGTTCCAGATCTTCTAAAGCAAAAAAAGTATTGGGTTAGTTGACTTATAAACCTATAGTACAAGGAAAATGTCAAGAACATGAGCCTACCTGATTGAAGCTGCTGAGGTAGAGGATGAGCTCTTTGATTTCTTAGAACCTGCTGTTGTTGTTTTCCTCTTATTTCCAGCAGCTGCTTCAGTTGTGGCAGTTATACCAGGGGGCAAATCAGGGAACACCATTCTGGTAGGAATAGAAACAATGCTTGTTTCAGTTGAGGCTTGGGTTGCCTTTTTCTTCTTCCTTTTAGGTGGTCCCCTGCAATAGATAAATACAAACTGTCAGTACTAATAAGTATGTCACATACAACCCAACACAAAAATCTAAAACAAATAATCTCACTTATCAGCAAGCATTGCTGCAATGTCTGTAGGATCTCCATCTTTACAAGTGTACTAGTGATGCCCATATTCATGGCAAATAGGGCACTGGTGCCTGCCTTTATTGCCTTTGTTGCCACCTTCAGCACCTCCTCTGAACCTTGTCTGCCTCCTTCTAGAGCAGTTGATTTGAGAAGAGGTGGATGCATGAAGAAGCCATGATCAGATTTGGGCCACATGGACTTATCAGGAATGGCAGGGATGATACCCTCATAAGCTGACCTGAACTTCTGCACTGAGTAGTTGTCCACATGGTCTTCAATTTTCTCTCTACTTATGCTAGTGATGTAGGTCAGTGCATGCTTACATGGTAGGCCTAAAACCTGCCAAGCCCTACAAGTGCAAGTCATTTGGTCCAAATTCACAACATATCTAAAGCTTGATCCTCCTCTTACACACACCTCTGCAATGCCAACGCCGCTAGTTATGACATCAATATCTAGGTTCCTGCTTTGCTCCTTCAGCTTGTCCACAATGTGTGGAAGTATCTTGCCTTGCATCTGCCTTGCAATCTTCCTTCTATGGTTCCATTTGATTAATAACTTCTGTCTGATTGTATCAAGCAAGTCATTCAAATGCCTGCCTTTTTCACCTTTGATCCAGTTGTTGAAGCTTTCAGCTAAATTATTTGTGACATAGTCTATCTTAGATGTGACTCCAAATTGACTTCTGGTCCATAGCTTCTTATGGTTCTGCTGTAGATAAACCATAGCTGTTGGCTTAGCTGCTGCCATTGCTGACCAGTGTTTCTCAAAAAGGTATGAGTTCCAACTGTAAGATGATGCCCACAAATGATCATCAAACACCTTTCCATGGAACATTTTCTTAAAATTTTAAACAAGATGCCACATACACTCTCTGTGCTCTGCATTAGGAAATACCTCACTCACATCGGCCATCACTGCTTGACCACAATCAGTATAGAAGGTCAGACCTGGTGGACTCCCTATAACATCTCTCAGTCTCTCCATGAACCATATCCAATTCTCATTTGTTTCTGAATCTATGACTCCAACTGCAACTGGATACATCCAGTTGTGCCCATCTACTGCACAGGCTACACATAGTTGACCTCTAAACTTGCCCGTGAGAAATGTACTATCAACCGACAAGTATGGCCTACAGCCTTGAAGAAAAACCCATCAATACATGGCTTCATGGCAAAGAACAGTCTATTGAACCTAATCTTGTTATTAATGGTATGATGATCAATAACTACAAAGCTACATGGACAAGATTCCTCAATTTGCAACTTGAACCTATACAGATTGTCAAAACTAGACTTCCAATCTCCAAATAATTGGCTGTGAGCTAGTTCCTTACCATTATATACTCTCTTGTAAGGCACAACCACCTTGAATTGATCATTGATCCTCTTCTATAGCTCCATAGCTGACACCCTGGGATTCTCAAATACCTAGTCCTTCACCTTTTCACAAACCCAAAACTTGGTTGCATACTTCACTTTACCACCTCTTCTTGTGCTCTGACACTCATGAGGATATGGGTTCTTCTTCACCTACAAATATGTCACACCAATTATAAGTAAATCAATAAAAAAAAGATGGTAAGAGTTACCTTCACTGTTAAGTTGTCTGCAGTTGTAGATGCATGAATCCTCCACCTACATCCATCAATTTTGGCACTGCAATAGGCCCTGTACCTCCCTGGATCACTCTTCTCTATGTTAAACTCAAACTCATTCCTAATTGCATGTGTAGCCAAAGCCTACTTAAAACAAGACATATTTTCATAGATGCTGCCTACTATCATTGGTGGGCTATTTTTGTCATACACTATTTTTGGATTACTAAGTGGAACTTTATCTTTGACCATTTCATCTGCCTCATCCTCCTCATAGTCATCATCAGAATCAGATTCACATTCAGAGTCAGAAATAGGTACATCCTCCTCAAATGCATCAGTACCCTTGGTCTGTGGCTCTAATTCTAGGTACATGCCCTCCTCATCCACACCCACGTGCTCATTCTGTGGCTCAGGATTGTTTAGGTAGTTGTCATCATCAGTGGTTGTTGCCATTTGAGAGCAAGCTTGAGTTTGGGTTGAAGCTGGTTTTTGAGTGGAAGCTTGTGTTTGGGTTGGTGCTGGTGTAGGCTCAGCTAGGTTACAGGCTTGCATAAAGGAGTTAGGCATTTCAGCTAAATCATGCCATAGTGGAATGATTGGTGTATCAGTACCCATAGGATGGTAAGCAAAGGTCAACAAGCAGGTCTTGGCACTAGCATTTTTGGAAAACATAGCAACTAAATCATGGTCACGGTTGACTTTGATGTTGGACTTGGTTTCACCACTGTAGTAGAACATGTCAACAATGTTACCATAACCACAAGGGTACTTATCCACAATGTCTTAGACCAAATCCTTGAAATTTGTTGTGTCAGCATCTACAACTGTGCTTATGCTAAACCAATGGCATCGAGAATTTGTCGCAACGGTCCTTATTTCTAATCTGTAGCTCGTTTTGGGGTCCATCCTACATACGAACACCCATCGATTAAGGCAGATCTACGGCAACAAACTAAGCACCTACAATTAGGCTAAGTGCATGACAATGGAGGACAACAAGAGAAGAAGACAACAGCCTACCCGTCTGAAAGCCACGCCGGGCGCACCTCTGGCTCCACCATGGTGACTCCCTGGATCTCGCGGTCACCCTCAACCAAGGCCCCTGCTGCACGCGGCCTTAGATCCAGTGGGTCAACCTCTTGATCCCTACCCCATGAGACCCCCTCCTCACGTGTGTAGATCTGCTTGGTCACCGCCACTTTGGTTCCTTCGGCTAGGGTTTTGAGAGAGAGAGGAGCTCGAGAGAGACGAGAAATGAGGAGTTGGAGACCGGGGGTGTCTTTCGTGGGACTTAAGTGGAAAATTCTGCTCTTGACACCTGGACACAAGGGCAAAAGGGGCGTTCTATCCCTCCATTACCGGCCGTCACGCTCTAAACTGATGGAAGTGACACACAGGACCAGAAAAGTTTGCGCGAGGGACTGAGGAGGGGCAGCCAAAATTCCTGTGACAGAGAAGAAATTAGAAACTTTTATAATGGCTTGTAGGTAAAAGTCTCATCATTCAAGCGTTGCAAAGTTTCAAACTTGCCAGCTTGATAGCACAAAAGAATGTTATACATCAGTGACATAATGATCTGGTTCTCACTGCTACAGTACTCCAATGCAACCAAATACATGATGGTCGCCTAAACCAAAATCGCGTACAAAAGGTGATGGACCTAATCGCTACCGCTAGAGGGAGCCTTGCACGCTCTTTTGCATATATAGTTGCTCTACATCGATCTTGTTGATCTTGGGCGCCACGACAAGCGGGTTGTTCTTGGCGATCTTCTCCGGCCCACCGTCTTGAAGTCGAAGTCGACGCATGCTTCTCCCGCGTGCGGTGCGCAGCGAAGCGTAACATGGCACCTGCAATGGCGGGGAACCCAGCAGCCCCACCTTCTTGCAAAGACGACGCGCACCTATTGGGCGGTGCCGCCTTTCATCCGGCGTGGCGCCTCCACTGCATGGTGCAAGATTTGGAACTAGAAGTTGCAGCAGAGATCTGGTCCGCCGCCGGCTGCTCGGCAGCAGCGAGGACGACCTTGTCCGCCGATGGCGCCGGGGCCGGGGCGGAGTGAACGGTTTTGAGGAAGTCCCTATAGCAGAGGGTGCACAGGTTGTTGGTGTCCGCGTGCGAAGTAACCGCACGCGTTCGCGCACTCGATGAGGCCACGACGGCGGACCCGGACGACGCTTCCTGCTTCTGCGTCTCCAAGGGGCGGCCACTGTTCTTCTTCTTCCCTATCGGTGCTTGAGCAACTGGCGTGGCCGTGGCCACTGCAGCGGCAACGGCAGTGGTGGCGTCAGGATCTTGATGACCATCAGCCAGCTGATCGGGCTCGTGAGCAGCAGCCTGCTTGGTGGTGGACTTGGTCTTCTTCTCGTCAACAAGAGCGGCGGCGTCGGCTTCGATGGTCTTGATCAGGTGCTCCTTGTAGCACTTGGAGCAGAAGTTGTTGGTCGCCGCGCTCCCGAAGAACCCGCAGCTGTTGGCGCACATCGGCGCCGCTACAACGCCGCCGGAGACGATCTCCTGCCTCTCCGCCATCGATCGGATCCTCTTGCTTGGTCCCGCTTGAGCACGCACATGAAAGGTGAAACCTCCTAGATGGCTTCGAGTTCGTGTGCGACTTGTTTCATGAACGAGCGAGAGTTCGTGAATGTGCGGAGCGTGCCCCTCGGCTCTCCTCTCTTCTCTTATATAGTACGGGAACAGGACCGAGAAGGCCAAGCACGAACCGACTCCGATTCGTGTTTTAGGCCGGGGTCGGAAATCGGGTCCGTGCGATGTAGGGTAGCGTGGACTTGCAGTTCCGACTTCGACTCATGTCATGGATTCTGGAACCGACTTCCGGCGCGGGGCTATCGCTGGCGCCGCTAATGGAGTTTGCCCGGCGCCGTGTGCCGCGTGAGAGCTGGGCGGCAACCGAGGTGCGGTTCATGGCCACTGCCTGGCTCTGTGGCTGCTGGATTCCCCAGTGGCCGAGTCCGTCCATGCAGTCTTCGCAGGGAAGTGCTTCGGGGGTCGGGGTTCCAATTTCAGGACGAATGTGCCACTTGTTTGAGCTCATTTTGATTGATTGCTCTAAAATGTGTGGATCTGGAGTTATTCAGCCTGTTCGCTGGTTGGTTTCTGGGCTGATAAGTCCGACTGGTGCTGGTTTGTTGTGAGAGAAAAATACTGTTGGCTAACTGATAAGTCTGGCTGAAACCAAGAAGCGAACAAGCTGATTTTGTATTTGACGTGAAGCAGGATATACATGTTCTGAAATTGGAGCTTACATTTGAGTACAACTGGATGGAGTTTTGTTGAATTTGGGCAGTTTAGTCTGAAACTAAATAAACTAAAGCTTATCGCACTGGATTTTAAACTAAGCTCAACTTAGCACATACATACTATATTATGCTTGCCCTAACTTGTATACGTACGTACGTACTTCTATTACAAGGTTATTAAAAAGAGGGGGGGAAGCAAAACCCCAAACACGAGGCAAGACAGAATAACAAATAGGCCCATGTGGCACTTGTGAGCGGGCCTCTGGAATCAAACCAGCCCACGGACGCCTCCGCTCGGGCCCGTGCGTTGCGTTGGGATGCGATGCGAGAGGGCGCGGCACGGATCTGAGCAGTAGGGCCAACGTTGTTTAGCACCACCTCGGAAGCGCAGGAACACAAACACCAGCTTATAGTCGCGAGCGCACCAGCTGTGTCGTCTCTTCGCCGGTAAAATTGGAACGATACAGAGAAGATTAGCATGTCTTCTGCGCAATGAAGACACGCACGAATCAAGAAATGGACCAAATATTTTTGATATTTTGCGCGCCGATCCCTGCCATCTTACAGATAGGTTCTCCTGGTCCTTGGATATGTTACAAACAGGTCCTTAGCCTGCGTGCCTACAGACTGGTCCTTGGACATGTTACATACAGGTCCTTCGGACTTGCAGGCTTTTATAATGCACTTCTTCCAGTTCCAGGGTTTTGACTTTGTACTGTTTCAATTTTGTAAAGGTCTTTACAGTTTAGTCCTGCTGCTTCTGGGTTTATATAAACATTTCCTCTTCATGATTTTTACGAATAGGTTCTACATAAACAGTGTGCAATGCGAATACGCAGTATCATAGAGTTAGGTCTAAACTATAGTTGTGTGTTTTTGAAACAATAAATAATTAAAAATATATAGTTGTGTTTATGTTTTTTTTATACACGTCGGTCCTCTTGGTGATTTCATGCTCTGAGGTTTGTGTTTCAATCGTTTTTCATTGATGGTTAAACCGGATTCAATCAAAACGTGCATGAGCAGGATCCTCTTACTGTTTTGCTATACACTTGTTACCGGTGAACCTGTGCCTGGAGTTCTCTCATGCCCTTAACTTTAGTGATGTTTCATATAACCTGTACAGCCACAGATTTTTGCATCTTGGTCTGGTGAATTGTGCGCGTAAATATTAGTTGTTCACGCATACATTATCCTTTGTCCACGTTCTCTTAAATTGTCAATCACAATAAAAGTATGTTGCCGCACCTACACCTTAGAGAGCAAGTCTAATAATAAATCCAAATGTTTAGCTACTAGCTAAGTTATAAAAGACAAACTATACAATAGTAGTATCTTATTTATCTATGAGCAACATTTTTATTGTTTTTTATTCGTGTTTCATCTTTTCTTTCATGATCCTTCTCATTATTTAAAGTATGGGCCCACCACTGCATATGTTTCTGTCTCTAACTTGTTGCTTGAACGAGGGCCAAATTCTTCTCTCTCCCATCTCTTCTCTCCTCCACATCAGCATTTGCTTGGCTATAAGCCAATTATGGTACTTGTTCTTAGCCATGATCCACTTTATGGTTAATTAATTACCCCTTTGCTATTATTTTGTACTATGTGCTGACTGTTCCCTCAAATTCTGTGTGCACAATGTAGCTTATGAATCAGTCCATGACTTGTGTTATGTGATTATCACACCAAATTAATTCCATTGAATTCTTTATGAAATATATTTTAACACTGTATTTATCTGAACTTGCAGAGAAGGTAATAGAAACATGACCACAGGTAGAGAAGTTTGACTTAATACTATTCCAGACGTTTTTTTCCACAAAACTGCAATTACATTAACCATTTGAGAGCACACACATCGTTTTATCATATGCATCGGTGGAGGGCTGATGCATCTGATTGGTCACCGAGCAATGCAAACCAGTTTACACGTTCAGAAACCTCGTTTCCATTAGGAACCCGCTGGAGACAAGGTTGGATACAAAGGTGGAGACATGGCTTAGGAAGACAACCAAGCAGGAGCAAACCGTGCTCGCCCCGCATGGCTAGGCAATCAGCCACTCGCCCACTCGGCTCTGGTTTAGTATTATAGAGATAGAGATGGGTCGCGCGGCTTAGACTCTGCGCTTGCAGGCGGATTGCAACCACGCAGCGCTCGCAGTCGCAGGCCAGCCAAACCGAACGGTGTTGGCCCGTAGAGCTGCCCATCCCATGCATCACGATTCACGGGCCACCTCGGCTGTTTTGTGCCATGGGCCTCAGCGTAAGTTGGGGGAAAAGCGGGTCCGTTCGTCGCCGGCGCGGCGAGCACCGCTGCCTCCGGCAGTCCGGCTCGTTTCCACGATTCCACCTGCAACGGTACGGTGCAAGTGCAACCGACCGCCAGCTGCACTTGCCGTCCACCGTCCACGGGAAGTATAGCCAGAGTGTACTGCGACAGCACATGACTGTGGCACTCTACCGGCCACCCGGTGGCTGTCGATGCAAGCATTGCTCTGCGAGGACAGCTAGCTGAGATTCAGGGAGGCGAAGCGAAGGCTTGCACGCACAACTGCACAAGGCATCGTCGTCGTACGCACGCCTGGCGCCCACACATAAAGCCATTGCTGCGCACATCGTGCTTGAGCCTGTTCGCATGGTCATATATGACTTATAAGTCATAACTTATCAACCAACGAATAATATTTTTTTCTCACACCAAACCAGCCAACAGTACTTTTAGCCATGGCTTACAAGCTAAACAAGTCAAAACGAACAGGGCGCTCGTTGCCGTCGATCAGTAATTCGATCAGAATCCAGAACTGAACAGGACGTGCATGTGCATCCATCTCCATGCATGCACGCACCGGGACGACAGCGATGGGCGTCGGAATCGGAAGCAGACGAAGCTTAACTCCTCTGTCCTCTCGCAGCTGCAGCAAGCGATCGAAGCTCATTTACGTACAAATCTTTCATCTCCAGTGGTACTGCGTAGGCTGGTGAGCTTAGACAGACGTCGCAAGTCGCATTGATTTCATAATTTGCCTAAGGACGCTGTCCCTTTACGTGATGAGAGCTTTGGTCGCTCGCTCGCTCGCTATGGCTCCTCAACAATGCGTGATGCGCTGGTCCGAGTCCTAGTCGCAGCATTAATCCTTGTAAAACGACAGTAACCTCTCTCTGATACGAAGACGCTGGTAGGCTGCCCCCTCATCCTTGTGCGCTCCTGAATGCACAAGTACAGCATCACATGCTTACAAAGATTGTGAATTACAACCAGGGCGTGATAGCGTGATTACGTGATTGTGTAGCCTATGGAGGCAACGCCATGACGGAGACCTGACGCTGGGCGGCCTGATCCCGATCCGATCCGATCCGATCCGATCCATGTAGCAGTTGCGCACCGCCCACCATGATCTTGACGTTTTGTTCAGTGTATGTATCCGGGAACGGGCGTGGCGTCTGGATTCTGGACCTGGATGTTTCTTCGGGTTCTGGATGGCATAGCCCGGACTGTTGGTCGCCATATTATGATCAAAATCGGTCCGGGATATTTTAGCACCTGAAGATTCGTCAAGCTTTCGCTGATACGGTGTTCTGGAGCTTCCAATCGGATGGATCTCTGAATGAATTCTCTGGCCGGGTGACTGACAGTGACGTCCGTATGTGGTTGCGAAACCACTGCATATTCAGAAAGAGACTGTCTATCTAAGACGGTCTCCAACAGCGTAGGCAAAGGGCGACTCAAACCTAAAATACGTTGTGCTCCAACAGAGAACGCAACCAAACACCCATTTTGCGTACCAGCACACGACGGAAGGCAAAAAGCGTCGTCTCTCTCCACGACGCAAAACACTGGAGCGAACGACGGCGAGGCACGCCTCCACCAGGAAGCTCCGTGCAGGGGAGGTTGTGTCCGCACCGTCGGTGGAGGTTGCCCCTGCTCACCGGTCCGCACTCGCCCCTGATCGCCGGTCCGCGCCGCCAAGCTGGCCTGGATCTCGCCAGTCCGCGCCGCATGCAGGGAAGCAGCGTCGACTGTGGGAGGTGCTCCCGCCGAGGCAGGCTGCGCCAACGCCCGGCGAGCAACCTCGAGGTAGGGGGAGGGGGAGCGCTCGACCTCGTCGTCAGTGAGGGAGATCTCATCCCATCGCATGGATTTGGACCTACCGGCGGAGAGGAAGAAGGGGGTGGCATCAGGGGAGAGAGGGGCCGGCTCCGGTTGCGGCGGAGCACCGCATGATCCCACGAGCGACGACCCGGTGGCACGTCGCGCTCCGGACGACCCGCCGCCACCGGGGGCACACTACAGCGGCGCTGCCCGCGCACCGGCCGGCGACTGCGCCAAGCGCTCCAGCTGAGGAAGGGAGGAGCACGGCAGAGGAGGAGGTGGGGACGCGGACTCCGGCGCCAGCGATGTTTGGGCGGCGTCGCCCATCATGGCCGCCACCTGCACGGCAAGCCCGCCATGGCCGGGCGTGGCGCACCAATGGAGAGGCCCGGGGGTGGAAGAAGGGGGAGAACGGGAGGGAGGCAGGCGGCGCAGGGAGGCGGGATTTGGCTGCTCGAGGTCTATTGTTGTTGGAGAAGGCGAGATTTGGGTCCATGACTCTTTCACTGTAGGTGACCTATACTATTGAATGGATATTGTGTTTGGGTTGTTTCTGTCGGAGAAAGTCTAACATCCGGATATTTTAGCACCGGGAACACCTGAATTTTTTTCCTCATGGATACTGTTCATTTTTCTTCTCTCCCCTCTTCCTCCTTGGCACAAATCATAAATCAAAAGTAACAAATCACAAATTACAAGCAACAAATTATAAATAATAATTTTTTTCTATAAAAGGACAAAGACAAAATTTAGTGGCAGTGCCAGAGCTGGGGAAGAAAAAAGCTCGCCAAAGTTTGGGAAGATGCCAGGCGTGCTCAGGCGCAGCCACGGTGGCGGCGCGGCCACGGGCACGAGCGGGCGCGCGGCAGCGCAGGCGCGGGCGGTTGAGAGCGCGGCGGCCACGGCTTAAAAAAATCGTGTGTTCCTGGATGCTTAAACACCCGGGTGTTATACTGATTCCGAAATCAGAATCGCGGTGCAGAAAACGTCCCGTATCCGTGTCGCTGAACCACACATACATTGGCCTGTTTTACTGGAACCGGGAATCTTCAGGAAACAGTTAAATTCCCCCGTTGCAAAGAGCTACTTATCAGCCAAAATAGCAGAGCAGCAAATCTGTACTACGCCTCCCATTCACAGGATTTGAACCAAAAATGAAATGCAAGAATCACCCAGCAGTCCAGCTATCATTTGCAGGAGTTCCGGTGGGTACTATCAATAATGTGGAGAGAACCCATTCTTCAGTTATATAGCGAACTGACAGTTTGTATATTTCGGAAATTGAATAGAAGCGTGTTTAACACAGAGGATACCATCAACTGAGATCAATTGAAGTTACAAATCTGCATTCTGCTCTCCTTGAGCCACTGTAATTTACCCCATAACCATACTATTATTTACCACAAGCAATCATGCTTGATTCAGCAAATTATCGTTATGGAAGCAACTTGCAATAGCTTCCTCAAGGGTCCACGCAGAGCAGGATCCCCGGTGCTTGCCAACATCTCTTTCCTGAAGCCTGAACACTATATACAACTTATAAAGTACTCACGACTGCTTAGTAACGGTAATTTTGACATCAAATAAAATATTATTCATGTAATGCCCACCCCTCCTCATAAAAGTATTCTCCGTCCCAAAAGTTAATGCAATCCTAGTTCAGCTATGTTGTCAAATAGAGATTTCCGGCTGATAAGGTTTTGTCTCTCACGGAAACCATGTAGTTCCTTTCTCATAATAAGATAAAAGACTTCACTTCAGAAAATCAAACAGCAGCTGGAGTCCTGCCCCTAAGTTCTCTTTCTTGAGCACTAACTGGATGTATTGTCATTATGTTAGCTCCATGGATGCTGATCCTTCTCTGAGTCCCTAACGCCAAAACCACACAGGGTATAAGAAGATTAGGCATAGATATATTAGGACAATATATGGATGCTGCTGCACTTAATGCGAAAGAGCATGAACACTGCAGTAAAAGAAAGAAACGGAAAATGGTAGGCTTGCTCCAAAATCTTATCTTCACAATTTAATGTTTGAACAGATCCAGCTAAATGTTTCAACTACCAAGATATTAAAAGTGCCAAAAAAAAAACAGTTCGAGAAATTGACTTTGATGGAAGTATAGGAATGTACTAGAACCCAGGGACGCTAGCAACAGGCTTGTCTGTGCTACTATGATTCATATTATGATTTATCAGGAGATGGCTTACCTTACTGAAACTAACCAGCAAGACAAACCAGATAATGCTCCTAATACTCCACTAGAGGTGCTTTAGCAAGAAAATTGGTCATGCTATCCAGTTTCCGCCATATCTCCTGCTATTTTCTTGAAGAACTGTTCCTTTGTATCCAACAGATATTAAAGATCAATAGTTTGTTTTGCATCAGTCAAGTGACATCACTTAAGGTACTGCTAGAGATCGTGTTTGAACCACACTGCCATCCCACCATCTGCAACAATTCTGCCTCAATACAATCCTCATCAGTACAAACACACCTGATCAGTGAACTCCAGCTCTCAACATGCGGAACCACTCCAAGATCAAGCATCCAGCTCATAATTTGTGCAGCCTCTTCTACTTTCCCAACTGTACAGCAACCCTTGATAACTGAATGAAACACTGAGAAATGTGGAACAAGCCCTTTACCAACCATGTCCGCCAGGTAAGCCTCCGCCTTATCATATAATCCGCTTACGCACAGCCCATTCACCACTGTGGCATATGTCACTGCATTCGGTGTACATCCGCTCTCCACCATATCACCAACAACCTTGCAGGCATCCAGTGTCCGTCCCTCGCGGCACATCCCGACAATGACCGTGTTGTAATGCACAATGTCAAGGGAGACTCCACGGCCTCGCATGAGACAGAGCAGGCGGTATGCCTCTCGGAGCTGCTTCTTGCGGCAGAGAGCGTTCAGCACGGTGGTGTACGCCAGTGGATCGGCAGGGATGCCCCTGTGCAGCATTTCGTCGAGCAGTGTAGCCGCGGTTCGGACCTGGGCCTTGCAGCAGAGTGATTGCGTAAGGATGCGGTAGGTGTCGGCATCGGGGGATACATGGAGCGAGCGGAGGCGGTGGAAGAGTGAGAGTGACACGGCGACGTGGCCGGATCGAGCCGCGGCGTCGATTAGCAGGTTGTGGGAGGCGAGGACGAGCGGAGCGGGGAGAGGTAGCCGCGAGGAGACGAGGCGGAGGAGGTGAAGCGCAGACGGGAAGTGGGACGGGGTGGAGGATAGGGCGCCGAGGAGGCGGAGGAGGAGCTGCGGGTGGAGCGGCAAAGGGCTGGGCCCCGAGACGAAGAGGGAGTTGAAGGTGGAGAGAAAGAGCTGAGGCGGCCGGCGGAGGCGGAGCACCGAGAGGAGAAGCGGGAGCAGGAGGTGCGGGGACGGCGGGGACGGGAGGCGGCGGAGGAGCGCGAGCGCGTGGGGTAGGTGGTCGCGGCGGCGGGCGAGGCGGAGCAGGAGGGAGTGGAGCGTGGCAGGGTGCGGCTTGGTGGTCGGGGAGGTGACGGTGACGAGCTCCAGCGCGAGGAGCGGATCCTGCTGCGACGTCACCAGCTTGTGCAGCCGCGCCGGCGATATCGCCGGCGGCGATGGGAGCATCGCCGCGGCTGTAATGGCGGCGTGGGCTAGCAGTGGGCTACAGGCCTACAGCCTACAGGCGCCGCGAGATGGAACGGAGGGAAGGAAAGATCAGTTTTCTGATGACTAGTGGCATTATGGGCTGGACTGAAAAGTGGGCCAAGATTTGTGTTCTGCTCTTTGATTTCGGGCAGATGACCGCTCACTGTTTGCGCCTTCAAACGGATGCAACTGTATCGCGATATTGGGCTTCGTATAGGCGGGCCGTGGTCGGTTCAAGCATTTTTTTCAAGCAGATTTGCTTCGCCTTCTCACTTTCTCATTGCTCTCGCAGTCATCCTGTAGGTGTGCAGAAAATGCTATTGCTGCCTCAAAAAAATGTTGTTGGTGCAAGATATTTTTCGTTGATTGATCTACTCTACTCGGTAGGTAAATAAGACAATAAGCATAGAGAAGATGATCAAAGTTGTGCAAGATCACAGCTGATGTCGGTTTCTTCAGTAAGTATTTATGTCAGACTTTACTGGAGCTCTATGTGTAGATCAGTGGGTAAATATTTAGCTTAGATAGAAGACTTGGGTCGCCAAGCGCAGTCGCGGATATGGCGTCGCAGCGACGTGGCCACTGGGGTTGGAGTCAGCGAAGCCGTGAAGGCGCAGTTCAGTGGCGGCGACAAAGGCGATGGCGCTTCCCGTCGCTTACGGCGCATTCTCTAGATCGGCTTAGGGATACAAAAACTGGTGGGGCGCTGGCGGCTGTGGTGAACCTCGTGTCTCGAGCCCTAGCCCCCACCTCCTATTTATTGCGCTGCGCGACAGGAGCCCATCAGCCAGTAGAAAGGCTGAGCGCCCCCGATCAGGGCGCGGATCAAGGGCCCAACTGGGCCAATTGGTGGAGATCAACCTAACATTCTCCCCCTTGATCTCACCTTATGACTTAAACTTAACTTCCTTTTTCTTTTTCTCATTCCATCACGGATCAGTGCATAGAGCGTGCCTCATCGTCACGGTCAGTTGCCATTAGATTTAACAGCTACAATGCACCTCTCTGTTTTAAAACAGATACTCAAATAGGCCCTTAGTATCCAGAAATTATAGGCTTTCCCATAAACCCATGTCGACTGTATGTTCTCTGAACGTACTGGGTGGTAAGACTTTGGTAAGCGGATCCACAAGTGCTTACTTGGTACTTATGTGCTCAATGTTTTTAAAATTATTCTGGATTTTCTCCTTTACAATGTATAACTTGGTGTCAATGTCTTTGGTATCATACTTGACCTGTTGTCTTAGGAGTTAACTTACTTTAAATGGTTATTACTGTTGACTACCATTGTTAAATCCAGATACACATTCCCTTAACCACTTTTGCCTGTTCCTGATGCCTCATGACAAGCTATACTATGGTATGCATCATTGATGACACCACAACTATTTCATTGGAGCTTTTCCACAACAATACTCCAACTACGAGTGTTAGTAACTATTATGGATTTCACTACATATCTCGCCAAAATTTAATATTTGTATCCACAACTATTTGAGAGTACTTGTTCTTTCTTACTCAGCATTAGGCCTATGATACTTTGTAAAATTGTAAGACATTCTCAACTCCATTCCAGTGATCTATATCTGGACTGGACTTCTGCCAAAATATCATCGTTACGTAAACTACGTCAGGGTAAGTTCTTACTTGTACTTGTACACTCATCAAGCTTCCAATAGCTGAAGCATATAGAACAATGTTTATTTGATCGATCTCATATCGGTTCCTAAAACACTTATAGTTCTCAAATCTATTACCCTTGACTATAAGGGCAGACATAGGTTTACTCGCATGCATACTTTATTTCTTTAAAATCTTTTTCTAAGTATGCCTTTGCGATAGTCCTAATACCCCATTTTCTACCATCTCGGTGAATTTTGATTCCTAAAACCAATGACGCTTCACTAAGATCATTCACATTGAAACTTGAGGACAAAACTTCTTCTCCAATGACAGATTAACATCACTATTAGTGAGTAGAATATCATCTATTCATAGGATGTGAAAAATGAATTTTTCATTCATTGATTTCGCATAAACGCTATTGTCCTTCTTATTTTCTTTAAAACTCAAACTTTCTTATTGTTTTATCAACTTCAAATACTACTGTCTAGAGACTAATTTTAACCCATAAATGAATTTCTACACGGCATCCCATACGTTCCTTTTCTTCCACGACAAAACCTTTGGGTTGTACCATGTAAACGTTTTCATACAAATCCCCATTGAGGAATGCCGTCTTTACATCCATCTGATGTAACTCTAAATCGTAATGTGCCAATAACACCATTATGATTCTAAAATAATCCTTATATAAAACTAAAGAGAAAACTCTTATTGTAATCTATTTATTCTCTTTGCATAAACCATTTTGCTACAGGTCGTGCTTTATATCTTTTTACATTTCCTTTGTAGTCACATTTTATCTTGTAGACCTATTTACAGCCTACTGTTTTGGCTCCATGAGGAATTTCTTCTAAGTCCCAAACATCATTGGTATTCATCGAATTCGTTTCAACTTCCATAGCTTCTTGCCATTTAGACAAGTAAATATTTCTCATGGCTTCTTCAAATGAGGTGGGATCACCCTCTATTTGAATTTATTCACTAATATAGACTTCATAGTCATCAGAAAACTGGTTTACTAATTCTTCGAGGCATTCTAGGGCCTCAGCTACTGGCACTTTCATATGGGGCTATTGTTGCCCTTCATTACCAAGAAGCAATTGATTCTATAGGCTCCTATATAATAAGATCCTTGTTTACATTATTCATCTTCTTCGAAGAGCAAACAACAGGTGTTGTATAAGTCATACAACATCAACAGGTATTGAGAAACTTGTTGCTCTTGAGTCACTGGAGTGGGCATAGTCCCTCTTCTCTTCAAGTCTTAGGTCTCTACATATCTCTACATACCATGCTCCCCCAGATCTTCTTATCTTTTGTAAAGATGGTGTATCTTAATTTTTTTTATTTTGAGTTTAATCTGTTAAAACCTCATATGGCACTTTAAAAAGGTTCATGAATTTAGCTATTTTTTGCTTAAGGGTATCGTTGTTGTGACCGTTGTACACCTCCGATGGTCGCATACATCTTAATTAATCTTTATCTCACTCTTAATGAAGAATATCTTTCTTAATTAATCTTTATCTCACTCTTAATGAAGAGTATCTTTCTTAATTAATCTTTATCTCACTCTTAATGAAGAGTATTTTTCTTAATTGATCTTAATTTTCTCCCCCTCGAAATATGGCATGAACTTTACTGCCATAATTTCGAGAACCATTAAGAAAACCTGTGAACGAGGAGACACATATAACTTACTTCATTAACATGATTATGTCATGCGAACAAAGTTATTTCTTGATTCGTATAGGAGTACACTTTTCTTATTTCACTTCAAGAACTCAACGAGGTCTTTCATTAGGAGTACTTTTGCAAGTCACGCTTGCATCTTTTCTTATCTTTTGGTTAGTATTGACCATGACGATGCATTTCTAATGTGCCATGGTCAATACTAGGACAACATAAGAGCTACCCAAACTTCTCTCGCTATGCGGGATACAAAACATGTGAATCATCATAAAACTTCTCCCGCCATGTAGGATTGACTAGCATAAGTACTATGCCAAAATTTCTCCCCATGCGGGATAAATCTATACACAAACACGCATGCTTAATCCAACGTTGGTCAAATTAGACATGCATGTTATTTATTGCAACTCTTAACACAAAACATTCACTTATACTTCATTTTCTAATTAAATCTTCCCATCGGTTCTAATTTAATCAGAAAATTAGTAAACTAACAAAAATCTGTCCTGAACTGGCTTGACTCAAGCCTTTTCATTCACCTACCCCAGCATTGCAGCCCGTTGGCATGCAGCCGAGTGATCTCGTCGGTTAAAAAATAAAACATACAATATGCTTCTGCATCAATTCTACATCACCGTTGGGCAGAAAATAGAATTATTGCATAAAACTCATATATTAACTTGAAAAACATGTAACTACTCTTTAAAATTAAATTCTCCTGTTGGTTCGAATTTAATTAGAAGATAGTCAACGTCATTGCGGTGAAACACGATAATAAAATACATTCTATTAGTTCAGGAGCATTTCTTGATTCTTATCTACTCTCTGAAAAATTGACCACGTTGGTGTAAAATTTATCATAGATTTAAATCTCAAATTTAAACTCATTATAATATTGTCATCATCAACGTTGGTCAGAAAATGACAATACTATAATCTGACTTAAACAAAATTGAACTACTCCAATTTAAATTAGAGTATAAACATAATCATAATTTATTGAACCAAAATCAACTGCTCTTCAAATTAAATTCTCCCGTTGGTTCGAATTTAATTAGAAGATAATAAACATTAAACTTTACAGCGAAAACTTGAAAAAAATAATTTATCTACTTTTTAGAAGCATTTCACTGTACTTATCTACTCTCCAAACAATTTATCCGCGTCCCAAGCCACAACTAAGCCTGGGATGGAATTCTGCTCTATGCACGCGCTCACCCGTAGGCCCAGCTAACAGCCCAAGCGATCTCAACCATCAATATGAATCAGACGGTCGCCCATGCTTCTCACCCGAAACAAAATCGGCGCCGCACCGCTCCCCCATGGAAACCCTAGGTCCATTCATCATTCTCCTTCCCTATCCTCTCCTCCTTAGTGCCGAGACGAGAGAGCGACCTGAGGTGGCCGCCCATGGTGGACGGAGGAAGAGGTGGCGACGCCGCTGCAGGGGCCCCTCGCCGGTGCGCGTACTTGCCCAAGGGTGAGCGCGCCGCCGTTGAGCGGCCTTGTGGCGACGCCCTTGACCCCTGAGCCTGCGGAGCTCCCCAAAACCCTAACTTCACTTTCTCTCTCTTCACCATGGTGCCGGCTTTGTCTCCCCTTCTCACCCTAAAAACAACCAGAGAGAAGAGTGGTGGCGCCACCGTGGCGCCCTTCGCCGGTGC